GGGTGCAGGCGGCGCGCGCGCGAGCGCTGACGCTGCTGGCGGCTGTCGCCGGTGGAGAAGGGAGCGCGGACGGCGGCTGGGCGCCGGTCCTGAGGCGCTCGCTGGGGCGCGGGGGCGCGAGAGTCCGCGGGGGGACTCGGGTCGTCTGGTCCCTGGTTACACGTTCGCTCGTGCACTTGATGTTCACTTTCTGTTCGCTTGATCAGGTATTCACTCGATGTTTGAATTAGAACTCGCTCTCAACTTTATACTCAACCCCAAACGTACAATGACAGTTGAGCTTCCACCTGCCGGGCTTCCGGCTTCATCAGAAAGTGTGATATTCCTGGAAGATTCCTGAAGCTGGAGACGCATAGCTCCCAGGGGCAGGGCCCAGCTGATGGGCGGACCCTTCCGGGGACTGCAGCAGCTACCACGCAGGCGTCGGCGGAGTCATGGTGACCCGACAACCGCTCTGCGCAGCTCTCCGTGTCAACAACAAATATAAACAGAACAAAATCATTCCTGAACAAGCAGGAGCCTGCGCCTCGGCCTCTGCGGGATCACGCGGGTCAATCACAAAGTGTGATTCCCCGTTGTGACGAGACCAGTGAGGCGCACACATCGCGATATGCTAATCAAAGCCCCAGGAATCTGCGTACGCGGAGCAGGAGGGGAAGCAGGCAATTCGGCAAAGTCAAAGCAGCAGCGGCTGCATGGCGCACACTGCCTGTGGGTGCCTGCCCAGCCACCTGCACTCACTGCTGCGCCTGTCACGCCAGGTCATGGCTGGTACACACAGTGTGGCGGGGTACGCAGTATCCCGTTACAGCAAGCGCATAAGCAGTGGCACTGTCAGGCAACAAAATGCGATGATGTATTGTATACTACATGCAAAAACCTTCAATATTTGGCGTTTCTATGAGGACCTTACGAAGCGCTGGTGATTCAGTGTAGACTGTGTGTGATCATGTGAGCTGAGGTGGGTTGGCAGCACTTGGGACCTCACTTCAATACCTTCATGCTGTACAGGCAGCACCCTGTTGCAAGCGTTATACTGATCAATAAAGACGATCGCTTTGGTTGATGTGGCTTGTTTCTTTGCGCCAAGGATCACACAACTGAACGACAGTCTTGAATGCACGGGGGGTCTGCCTTTGATGCGGTGAACAGCCTCTCAGGTTCTACCGGCTGGGTTCACAACAAACTGTGCTTGTGATGCTGATATCAACACATACACATGTGATGCGGCTGGAGTCACTGCCCTGGTGTCCAGGCACAAGAGGGCAGTGGCCGATCACTGCCCCCGCGCCAAAGCCAAGTAACGAGCTTGAAGTGTCAGATGTCGCAATACACTGCCATTTGAGGAATCCTGCTTTCACATCGCATCTGGACCTGGGCCTGCAGCATTCAGGCTCTCTGATAGACATGTACGCCGCCATGGCGTGGGCGATGCGGGTTGGGACCAAATGGGATTCGTGAATCCTGCAGTCAGGAGGCATGCAGAGGGCGGGGGCTGCATGGAGCAGTCCGAACGGCGCACAAGCAAGCGCACTGGTGCGGCAGGCGCGGCCAAGCAAGTCTTGGCTGAGACGCCCGCATGCAGCAGCCAGTGCGCGGCGTCTAATCACTTGCCATGCACTGTTCAACGGTGAAGGGTGCGTTGGCTCAAGCCAACAATTGTTGTGGCAGCTGAGTCGGGCCACACGAGTGGCAGGGACTGCCGCTCGCCTGCCTCGGAGGGGTCAGAGGGCGCCTGGCTGCCAAAAATGCCGGGGTCCAGTCTGAGCCTGAGCGTCAGCGGCGTCTCTTGCACCCACCTGAGAGGTAGGTGACAACGGTGGCAAGCCGCTGCGAGGCCTCAGGACCAAAGTCTTTGGTTCAATGTGTCCGGGAAGCATCACACGAAATTTGCACAAATTTGGGATGAGGCGCAGCCGGGTGGTCGGCGGCGCAGCACAGGCGTCAGAGCGCCAGGGCAGCCATGTGGTGAGCGGCGCTACTGTGTGCTGACAATGCATCGTCAGCATATGCTCCCGATGTGCTGATGCAAGTACGTACAACAACACCGCATGACAGACCCCCGAGGGACGCGCAGGCCGCCGCAGCAAAACCCTTTTGCAGCGGTCGCACACTTGCACCCAGGCGTTCTAGCAGGAGCCCCCACATGGCCTCGGCCCCACCATGCTGACCACCCACCACCCACTGCCAGGCTGGACCCCCCCTCCCACGTGCGCACCATGTGACCAGGATGACCTCATGGCGACTGCATTGTATGGTGCATAGACTTGATACTACTTACACCATTATCAGGGGTGAAGCGGATTAAAGGCAATGAGGGTGTCCCTTGCAAGGGAGAGGCGTACCCTATCAGCTGCGATCAAGGCGGGACCCAGCACGAGCCCACCCTCTGCAGCCACAGCCGCACAAGCGGCACGGCGCCCGCACGGGCTGCCAATCAAACTCTTGACAGGCATGCAGACCCACAGGGTGGTGGAACGTGAAATGCAGCGAAGAAAGCACACGGGTGCGCGTGTGTGGTGCTTGCACCCTGCCCTCGCACTTCTGGCGGCAGACGCTTCGACCAACAGGCGCCCAGCAGACACACTCATGCCATGCATCGCGCAGCTGTTGGTTGATTACTCTTATTAGAAGATAGGCACTGGCCTGCAGCCCCTTGGTGCCTGAAGCTGTGATCGCAAGCTCTGGATCGTGTGAGTGCACGCCCAGGAAAAGGAATCAGAGCCATGGCCGACGGCCAGGGGCCGTCAACAAGCGACAGTGCACGGCACCCCGCAGAGGTGCCACCAATTGCAGTCCCCTTCTCATCCGCTCGCTGCATCTTTGGAAGGCGCGCAACCCGCACACGCACGGGTCGTTTGATTGGCGCAGGCTCGCGGCAAGCGCACGTCCTTGGTCGTGTGTGGACCCTGGAACGAGGCAAGCCCCTGACAAGCCCAAAGCGCTGCTGCTGCCTTGAGGAATGTCCGAGCCACCCACCCCCTCTGCACGGGGGCAGGGCGCCACGCCGACGGCCAACACATGTGTTTGTGTGGGTGGCTGAGAGCGCTCACAGCAGCAGGGCGGCCGCGAGGGCAGCCGCGCCCGCCAGCGCGGTCGCGCCGGCCGCGCGGCCGCCCGCAGCGCCGGTCGCGGCCGTCCCGTTGGTGGCCTTCGCCTCACCAGCCTCAGGCGTGATGATGGACCCGTCCCTGCCGATGATGGAGCCGGGGACGCCGCCGACGCCGTTGGCGCCCACGCCGCCGGAGGAGTCGACGATCTTCTGGACGGTGCCGTCGGGGTTGACGATCTCGGTGGCGGTCAGCGGCCGCACGCCCGACTGGGTGTACTCAAACTCGGCGGTCTTCAGGCCGCCGCAGACGTCGCTGAAGGTGACTACCACGCCGTGCTTGGTGTCGGTGCTGGCGACGTCGCGCGCCTGGATGGCCAGCGGCGACACGCACTTGCCGTCCTCCGCGTTGGACACGACCTGGCCGTCGTGGGTGCAGGTCGCGCTGCCGACGCCGCGGAACTGCCAGGTGAGGACCACGTTCTGGCCGGCGAGCACGGCCTGGCCGGGCACGTGGCTGGAGCTGCTGATCGCGCTGAGGGTGGTGGGGGTGGAGCCCTTCTGGACGCCGACCAGGACCTTAGTGTGGACCTGGCGGGAAGCCGCCTCCCACAGGCCCTTGACGCCCTCGCCGCTGGCGTCGTCCTGGGTGATCTGGGTGAGGCCCGCCAGGCTCGTCAGCAGGGGGTAGGCGGTCATCACGCTGACGACGGTCGACACCTCGTAGTAACCCTCCTGCGGTGGGCCGAGCCGGCGATTGTATGGGAAGGATGCAGACTTTTAGACGCAGTGCAGCAGCATGGTATAAATGGGGCAGGTTGGGCATGGCGTGAGCAGTAGTCCAGCATGGCAACGCTCTGCAAGTGCAAACACCCAAGTTGTATCATGGCAGCCATGAAGACCAACGGTATGAACCTCCCCTGGTGCCCGCTCGCCTGCAGGGTGTCGGAGAGCGTGTAGGAGAGGGGCTCGCCGGTGTAGGAGCTGTCCACAGGGAAGTACCTGCAGGATTGGCGCAAGTAGGTATAGGGTGACTCAGTCGCTGGCCTTCGACCAACAATTGCTTTTGACAGGCGTGGTGACAAGCGCCTGCACCTCCCTGCTGTTCACTGCCTCTTTGGGCTCGCTCTTGCCGCCTTCCGTGCGAAATCTGCAGGGGCCATCCGTTGGTTATCGCTGCAGCATCATCCTGCTCAACGGGCAGCTTCCCTGCATCTGACAGACCCCCCCCCCCGCACCTGGCCAGCCAGTTGAACTTAGTGCGGGAGGCGACCTCGTCGTAGTTGCGGGGCTCAGTGGGGGTGCCGTCCAGCTCAGCCACCTGCGGCGGCCAAAGACGTGCAAAGCAGCGGTTTGTAGATACCGAGGTAGTTGCCAACAGAACACATTAGTCGCCACAGCCCCAACGCACTCACATGGACAGCACCTACTGCACAGGTGAGCAAGGAAAGACAGCCAGCGGCTCAATATAACAGGACAGCCAGCTGCAGCCATTGCAAGGAAAGCAGGTTTGACTGTTGTGTCACTGTGCGCACCTTGCCACCCCAGACCTTGACCAGGGGACGAATCAGGTTGGCGGCAGTGGGCGCATCGTCCACGGTGACGTTCACGGGCAGAGGGCTGACGTCGGTGATGTTCACCAT